CTAATAAGCAGGACCTTACAGCAGGTAGGCATGCAGCCTCCACAACTCTGGATGCGGGTGAAATATCGCCCCCCTGCCTGAGAGAGGAGATCTTGGCGAAGATGAAGTTGCCAGGGCTGAGCAGCCAGCAGGCTGATTATCTCGGCGTACCAAGACTGCGCTGGCCAATGGGGCGCCACCAGAATCAGAGACAGACCCTGTCTGCGTACCCTCTCTAGTACAGGTGGTATCATCTCCACTGGGGGAAACGCATACAGCAGTACATTGGGCCACAGGTGGGCTAGAGCGTCCACCCCCAGTGGGGCGTTCTGATCCGTTATGGAAAAGAACAGAGGGCTGTGAGTATTGGCCCCTGTGGCAAAAAGATCCACTGCTGCCCTGCCAAACATGGACCAAATCTGGTCCACCACTGAGGGGTGCAGCCTCCACTCCCTCACCATAGGTCCGCCCCTGGAGAACAAATCTGGGCCCAGATTCAGTCTCCCAGGAACGTGAGTGGCCCTGATAGACAGGAAATGCACGCTGCACCACTGCAAGAGAGTGTGAGACAGTTYCAACAGGGGAAGAGACCGTGTTCCCCCCTGTCTGTTTATGTATGACACTAYGGTCGTGTTGTCTGTTCTGATCAGAACATGTTGGTTCTGCAGAACTGGACAAAATTGTTTCAGTGCTAACAGAACCGCTAACAATTCCAGGCAGTTTATGTGGAGTCTGGACTGCTTCAGGGTCCAAACCCCCCTCACTGCCGCACCATCGCACAGAGCCCCCCCACCCCACCAGGGAGGCGTCTGTGGATACCACCTTGCGAAATGACACTCTCCCTATCGGTGAGCCTYGGCACAGCAGGCCGGGTTCCCTCCAAGGACTGAGAGCCTTCATGCATGAGGCAGTTATCGTTAGCTTTCTGTGGCGGTGACGTAATGCACACAGCCGGGGAGAGCGGGACCAGCGCTGAAACCGGCGCATTTTTAGCAGCCCGAGTGGTACTACTGTGATCATAGAAGCCATCATGCCCAACAGTTGCAGAATGGTCTGAAAACGCAGTTTGTGTCCCAGTTGAAACTGAGCGAGGCAGCGGTGAAACGCAGCTGCTCTGTTTTCTGAGAGACGCGCTCTGCCCGACAGRGAGCATATTTCTAACCCGAGGAAAGAAAAATGCTGACTCGGAGTCAATAAATTTTCTGAAAATTCACAGAAAAACCCAGAGCCTGAATGTGTGACAGAACCTGAGACAGATGCTCTGTAGCCTGCTCCTTGGAGCTGGCTATCAGAGCCCAGTCGTCTAGATACGCTAACAGGCGAACTCCTTTCTCCCTGAGAGGARATAGCGCTGCTTCGACACATTTTGAAAAGGTGCGGGGTGCCAGCGACAGACCGAATGGTAGCACCAGGTATTCGTAGGCTATGCCTTCGAACGCAAACCTCAGAWATTTYCTGTGGTCYGGGTGAATCGCTACATGAAAGTAAGCGTCTGTTAAATTGATGGTCGCAAACCAGTCGCCCGGGCTGAYCGAATGCAGAAGCTGCCTGAGTGTTAGCATTTTGAACCTGTATGTTCGTAGAAACTTGTTTAACACCCTCAGGTCTAAAATTGGACGGAGGCTGCCGTCTTTTTTTGGAATGACAAAATAACGGCTGTACCAACCTTTGTTTATGTCCGAAGAGGGAACCACACGTACGGCTCCTTTCGCCAGTAGCGTGTTTATTTCCTCTCTCAACACTACGGCTGCTTTGTTTCCAAAAACAGTGTTTATCACAGTGTTGAAACGGGGCGGCCGTATGCAGAACTATAGTCGGTAACCCATTGCGACTGTTCTCTCTACCCAAGCAGATGGTGCGCATGCGTGCCAGAGAGAGGGAGAGTCGCGTCACTAGGCTGGTCGTGCTGGTCCTTTTCGTGAAGCGAGAAGCCGCACCCCTGGGGACAGTGGTGAACTGAAGACTTCTGCTTCTTCTTGAGTAATTTTATGCTCATCCCGAACCACAAAATTCTCTCTTTCGTCGAGGTAAGAAAGGTTTCTCAAAGTTAGCGCTCCGCGGGCAGACACCAGTAGGCAGCTGCAGCTRACACCAACAAAAGCCGTTAAACTAAATCCGAGAACCTTCGAACAAACAAAGCTAATTAGCAGCACCTAACTAGCTAGGTTGGAAGAGGTGGGTGTTCTTGCGAGGTAAAGAGCAATAGAACTAAGGAGTGACTGTGATGGCAACAGTTTATATATGTGCAGGCGGAGCCTGACATCTGTCGTCATCACGTCACCTGCCTAAAGGCGTGATTAGAGGTGGCTTCAGCCAGGACACGCAGGGGCGTGGTTTCCCATACATGATGTGTTGTACCGAGTGAATTGACTGAAAGGGAACCCGTCTGCCCTCACCTCTGCTCCATCTCCTGCTTCATGTCGATTCCTTGTTTCTCGAGCAGCTCCCTCTGAGCGAAGGCCCAGTCGACGGGTTCCACCGGCGTCTCCGCGCATGGCGTCCTCTCCCGCTCCAGACGGGCCTGCTCTGGGTCGTTGAACCGGAACACGTGGCTCTTCCCCATGATGATGCGGTTTCCTTAAAAGAATGCATGAAAACATATGAAATTCCAAGCATTTAAAACACCTTTACATTAGAATAACTGACATAATCAGTGGCTAATTTGTCAAATCATTTCAATGCTTTGTCTTCTTTAAATACATTTCACACCATTTTCTAACAAAAACCATGAGTTCTTTCTCACCGGACCGCAGAACAGTGGGCGAGGTGACTCGTTTCCCGTTGACATACGTCTCTGCTCCCTCACATGGCTCAAGAACAACACAACCTGATCCAGAAAGCAATTCGTGTTGTCCATCACAATAGATTAGTCTATTTGAAATATTATTTCTTAGCGAAACCAGTCTTTTACCTTCTCCCTGGGGGCCGGTGGTGCTGCTGAAGGTGCAGTGCTCGTCTCTAATGAAGTGGCCGCTGAGAACGATGTCCTGACGAGTCCTGGCATTTTCACGCCCAACTCTGATGGGTGAAAAAAAAGCAACAAATGTTATTTAAAAATGACAACAAACAAAACAGATTAAATAAGGAAAATCCCTAAATGTTTACTTGGTGATGCCATCTTTGATATAGTACAGCAGACACTCGGACATCAGAGGGTCCTCATTGAGGTTCACCAGATGAGGGGTCTGTAAGCAAAATTTAGTTAGGGAGCTGTTTTAAGCTGGTTTTATCCAAATAAGATCTGAAATGGTCTTTGTACATATCACCATATTCACATAAATATTATTTGACCTTTTTGGGGGAAAACACTCCAACGGTGCCTCCATCCTCCCTCATGGCAACACCCATCTCTGCCAACAGAGCCTCTCTACAAGGAGAATTCAAAGTTAGAGCAATAACAGAGGATATAAAAAATAAAAACAGCACAGCTGTTACAAAAGTTCTGACTCTCAGATATGCAAAATGGGTTTTGCTGCTGAAACATATTTAACCTTTAAATCTCCAAGCTACGCAGCTGCTACTTGGAGAAATTCATAAAAATTCCATGAATAAGAACAAATGACTCAGCATTTTAAAGTCATTTTAACAAAGAAACAAGATCAAAATGCGACAATCTTTTTTTATTTTCATGGTTAATGAAGTTTGTGTTTTATTTGCAAGATAACGTAAAGATTTATTGAAAAATGCAAGAAGGTTGGGAACAGATTAGAAGTTGTAAACTTTAGGTTTTAACACAGATTTCTATTTTTTTCTATTTCAAACACAGTCTAGCATTTTGACATTGTGTCTTCACCCATCTAAAATAATAAAAAGGGATTTTCTGCTTGTTTTTGGCTGGAGTAAATTTGATTTACTGTTCTATAATTTGATGTTGTTATTTAGTATAGAGCATACAGATTTAAAGCCCTGTCACACTATAATGTTTTAGACAACTTATGCCGACTTGTGAAAATTTTGTCCAACACTGAAGATGTCTCTGCTGAAGATGGAATAAAAACAATCTACTGGAAGCCTCTTTTGGATATATACATACTGTAATGCTAAAAATTCAACCAAATATATAACCTGTGAGTAATTTAGTCATAAAGTTTCATTAGATGGCATAAACCTTTCAATTCAATTCAATTTTTTTTTCATTTCATTAAAAAACAACTATACACAATAAAAAACAACGAAAATACACAAATCAAAAATCTAAATTAAATGAAAGGTAGCAGAAGAAGAATAAATCTTATGTCTGCCCCTTTTATCCCCAGAATATATTCAAACAAAACATAATTTACAAAACAATACTAAGTAAAAATAAAAACTCAACTCAAACAATTCATATAGCTTCACATTTTACTTTTCCATATACCTTCAGAAAACTAGCTTTTATCTGTCTCATAAATATATACATAGATCTGGCATTTTTAAGATCATCTTCCAAACCATTCCACAATCCTCTAYCCTGGATTAAAGTACATCTTTCTCTCAAGCAAGTATGAAAGTATGGCTTCACAAACATTTCTATCCCCTTACAATAATAACAACTGTCTCTCTTAACAAAATTTGCCTGAATGTTGGAAGGTTATACGTTTTGGTGAGCCTTGTACATGAACAGTAAAATATTATAATCAACCAAATCATAGAATTTCAAATTTTTCAGTTTGCAAAACAATGAAGTTGATGGATGGTTGTAATCTTTTCTYGCAATAATTCTTACGGCTCTTTTCTGCAAAACAAAAAATGGATTTGTAATTGTTTTGCAAGCTTTACCTCAGACTTCAATACAGTAAATTAAATGTGGAATGTGGAAATGTGGATAAATTGTCTACAATGCTATAGTGTGACAGGGTCTGAGCACCTAAAAAGACAAAGTTCAACCTTTAAAAAAAAGTTGTGCAGCTGAAGTTGTCTGATAAGTTAACAGAACCTCATTTWAATCCACAGTGTGGAGCTCACAGCCCACAGTTATGTAACTTTAAACAAAGCTCTAGGAAGCAAAGGCTGATGCTGAAAGATTCAGTGGAATGATTCAGAGTAAAGCAAATGAATGAGAATAATCACTGGCAAATGTTTTGGACAAACCTCTCCATGCGGATAGCTTCGGTGCGACGCAGCTTCTCCTCCCACGTCTCATTGAGCTCTGCRATGATCTTCTCTGTTTCCTGTTGATAAAATTAAAAAATGGTCGGTTCTCACGTCCGCGATTCTGACATTTACATCCATCGACGTCTGTTTTCTGCTCCTTCTACCTTGAGCCGTTCGATCGCCTCCTCGCTGGCCGGGCTGAAGATGCGGTCGTGGAGGTTGCTGATGGAGGCGGCCCGGCTGGACAGGGCAGAGAGCGAAGGGGAGGGGCTCATCCCCGTCATGGCATTGGTCACTGTGGAGAGATCACCCCTTTCAKTGACAGCCTGGCGATTATTGGCAAAGTTCTTGTAATCGCACAGGTCTGTCAGAGAGAGAGGCATAAAAGCGTGGAACAAAGGACAGAAGGTGGGAGCAAACG